CAGTGTCACGTGTTTACGTGAGACGTGAGAGGGAACTAGAGGGAACTGGGGATGTCAACTAACGGGGGCTGATCGTCGCAATTAAAGCCAGGTGGTTTTTTGCAGCCCTTTATCTATCTCGCTCGGTCTTTCACTTTTTTCCGCTCTTATTCTATAAACTTCCCCACATGTTTTCCGTTTTTTCCAGCCGACAAGTTCTACCCCCTCACACATTCAATCCGTTATTCATTTGAGTCCGCGGGAATATATATTATGTCCCGGCGTGTATTTTTTCCACAAGGATTTTTGATTATACTCATTAATTTGATTAAGAAGTACACGTTGTCATTATCATTTTCATTTCCGCTGTACATTTTTTTTTAATGGATTTTCAGTGCGGAGCTTTCAATAAGACCTTAATTCGCGTTACTATCCCCCACGGAAAAAGTATATATTCTGGAATATATTCTGAAATATATTCCAGAATATATCCGAGAATATATTCCGAATATACCCCGTTTTGCCCGAGGAATATATTCCGGAATATATGGGCATGCACTCACTTGTATTCCGTTTTACTCAAAATTTTTCTCTGGTCTACAGTCTGGTCTGTCGTCAGATCTATAGTCTGATCCATCGTATATATACTGAATATATTCCTTGGGCAAAACGGGGTATATCCGGAATATATTTAGAATATATTCTCTAATATATTCTAGAATATATTTCAGAATATATACTAGAATATATACTTTTTCCGTGAGGGATTATTTGTCTATATAAATAGGGGTGGAGTTGGAGAGATATAATCGTCTTTAAATTTGTAGGTAACATTATTTTTGTACTATAATTATTTTGTTTGTTTTAAGTTATTAAATGGCTTTTTGTCAATTCAATAACATCCTAATCATTTTTTTAATGATTCAGCTAAAACAATAACTATTATCAGAAATTAAAAAACAATAAAATTTAAAATGTTATGTAGTTGTGTTAAATGAAACCTGTGTTGAAGTTTTTGTGCTTAACTATGTTTAATAAATAGAATATTAAATATTGTTCAAATCTTCCTAACAGATTATGATTAGAAAGCAAAATTATCAACAACATAAAATTATTTTCAATAAAGAATGATACCTATATCACTTCATTATAATTTGCAATTTTTTTATTTTTTGTTTACTATATACTATAGGGTGGGTCAAAAAAATCGATTATTTTTTTTTTTAACTTCTTACATTGAAAAGTTGGTTCTCAGGCACCTCTAGAAAATGCTCACCGGATTTGAGCTCTTAATATTGATAGGAAGCTTATCCGCATCATAGTTATACATTTTTTGGTAGTTTCTTATAAAAAAGATCATATCTCACTATTGATCAATTTTCTAATCAAATTTTTATACATATTTTTTATAAAAAAAGATAAAAAATCTGATATGTGTAAGCGATTACATTAACCATTTCAAAGATATCCGAGATCAAAGTTTAAAAAATTTATCAAAAAAAA